AAGCAAGATGAGCGCCGCAACCCCAGAGTCGGTCACAACTGGACCTAATGGTCAGGGGTCAATTTACCTTTACCTTTAGACCATTACTGCACCTAGCTTCCTCCATCACTGCCCTGTCTTCTTTTGAGGCAGATCTGAGAAAGTTGTGGCCCTCCAGCTGTTACTAAACTACAACATCCATCATCATCCCTGACCACTGGCTAGGATTGATGGGACTGGGGAGCCCAGTAACATCTGGTGAGTGACAAGTCCCCATCCCTGGACTAGACCAGCGGTTACCTTTACTGCTTCCAGCTAACTCCATCACAACTCTGCCTTGTTTTAAAGCAGGGATGAGAAACTCATGGTACCCTCCAGATGTTGCTGGACTACAACTCTCATCACTCCGATCATTGCCTATATTGGGTGGGGCTGATGGGAGTTGGAATCCATCAATACCTGGAGGATCACAAGTTCCTCATCCCTGAACTAGGCCATCACTTGCCTTTGCTGCCCCTACTCTGTCTTTAATGCAGTGATGGGGACCACTGGTTATGTATTTTTGGACTGATGTGAGCTGAAGTCCATATACTTCTGGAGGGCCACTCTTTACTGCCTTAGAAAAGCTTGTATTCCAAATGGGCTTAAATGCATGGTTAGCAGATTTTTGTCAATGAATCCAGGGACACTTTTTTTCTTTTTAAGCTGAGTAGCAAGAGGGAGTCAGTAGTGGGGATGGTGAGGCAAAAGACCCTGGGCCCAAGCACAAATGCATATTGTATGAAGGTGCAAAGCCCTTCTTTCGCAACCTGTGAAACATAAATGCGCAATTTTAAGAAAACTGGGCAATGGTATACCGCCTGCCCGTGACTCCCAAGCCTTCCCTGATCTTCTTCCCCCTTTGTTTTGACAGATTGGGGGAGGCTGAGGAGTTGTGGGCAGGCAGCCGTTGTCCAGTTTTTAAAAAACTCTGCGCATTTATATTTTGCAGGGTGCGAAAGAAGGGCTTTGCACCTTGCCTGGCAGAGAAACCGCGTGCCTTGCACCCCTCCTGGGCAACAGCCGCCCGCCCACAACTCCTGAACCTCCCCTGATCTGTCAAAACAAAGGGGGAAGGGGGCAGGAGATCCGTATCACTGGACATCCCTGGTTCCCCTTTGGCAGTGGCGGCGGCAGCAGCGAGCAGCTCCTGAAGCCAGCTAGAGCCAACTGTGCTACTAGGCTGGCTCCAGGCTACTGAGGCTGCCGCTGCCACATTTTCTGGGTACAGATTTGCAAATCTGGGTACATTCCGGGGACAGAATTTGTCCAGGGACAGATTTGCAAATCCGGGGACTGTCCCTGGGAACCAGGGACGTCTGGTAAGCCAACTTGAATGTAACATCAGCAAGTGGCAAAAACTGATTGCTTACAAAGCACTGCAGTGTCCATGTGATCCCTGATTGCCTGAGCCTGCTCAAGAAGGAATGAAAACAGAGGGGTGAATGGTGGCTGCTGTAGGCACAGCAAAAATAATTGGGGGGGGGAGAATCTGTTCATCAGGGATGCTGTAAACAGAGCTATGATTAAAAGTTAAGGGATCACTTCTTTCAAGCTGAAAAATGAACCTGGAGAAGGTTCATCTTCACGGATCACACCAAGTGCAGATATAATTTATTGTCGTGAAACAATTTCATCGGCGGGTGTCATTCACCCAAATTGCTGAGAGCCTCCACAATGGTGGAGCCCACATCTCTGAGGATTTCGGTTATAAGAACAACATCAGTGGATCAGACCAAGGCCCCATCTGGTCTAGAGGCTTGCAAGGATAAGATGGAGCGGATATAGAAAAGTTCTCTCCCCCTCTTCTCTCGTATCGTTGGAACTTGTGGACATCCAATGTTGGAAGATTCGGGACAGATAAAAGCCGGCGTACAGTTTCCGGGTCATGTGGCCAGCATGACTAAGCCGCTTCTGGTGAACCAGAGCAGCGCACGGAAATGCTGTTTACCTTCCTGCCGGAGCAGTACCTATTTATCTACTTGCACTTTGACGTGCTTTCGAACTGCTAGGTTGGCAGGAGCAGGGACCGAGCAACGGGAGCTCACCCTGTCGCAGGGATTTGAACCGCCAACCTTCTGATCGGCAAGTCCTAGGCTCTGTGGTTTAACCCACAGCACCACCCGCGTCCCTATATCAATATGTACCCTTGGTCTTATATCTCAACTCAGTCTCTCTCCAATGTCAATCGAATGCTAGCATAAATAGCGAACCCTTACTATATTTTTGAACATATATCTTATATCTAGCCCACTTTTCCGTAAATTTTTGTTTTGAATTGCCTCTCAGGCTGTCAACTGCACCATTTCAGCAAATTCTTGTAGCTTGTTATGCCAAAGCCACTTCCCCCAGCCGCGTCATCCCCTCGACAGCCAATGGGCTGGCTCGGGGTGTGTGGCCTGCTTCATTTAACGCAGGGGCGGCTGGGGGTCTCCCTCTTTTGCCGCCTCCAGCTGTTTCTGTTTCCCACCCTTCCGCCCTTTAAGGTTTTTGTTCCTTGACCTTGCTATGGACCTTGGTTGGTCGCCGTTGAGGGGCCTGGTAGGAATTTTTCCACTTGGCAAATTGGCACCAGCCACTTGGTTTTCACCTACCTTGTAGCAAATCGTCACAACTTCCTTTGTGCTGGCGGTTAGGCATTGGTATTGCTCTGTAGATGGAAGAGGGGAGGTAACGGCATCACCTGCCCCGCATATTGAAGGGTAGTCCGATAAAGGATTCTGGGGGGCGTGGCCCTGTCCAAAGCCTATGGAGGTGAGGGCCTAAGGCACGCCCCCGAACAGTGACCCTGGGGGAGTTCCTAGTTGATGTGCATCAGCAGGACTCCCCCTACTGGTGGTTAACCCTTCCCGGACTTCAAGCGGACAGGCTGAAGCCGGATAGTCGGTTAGGACCAATGCCTAAGCCAATACCACTCATCACCTGTAACCAATAAAGTTGTGGCCATATTTAGCCCATTAACCTTAAATAATTGTGTCACGTGTCTTTATTTCCATGGGGGGGGGGGACTTGCCACGCAATCCATTATTGTCGGGACTTCTTCTTCCTTCCACCCCTTCACGTGGACTCTTCTTTCTAGGGCAGGTAGGGTGTGGCAGATTCAGCCCCACTCAAGGGCAGGAGCAGTATTGCCACAGGACAAAGAAGGGTCTTCAGACCCAGAATGGGGAATTACCACCCTCCCAGATATCTCTCTCTGACCCTCGGACCTTTCTCTTTCTTGCTGGTAGCCTTTAGAGACCCTAAGGGTCATCTAATCTAACCCCTTCAATACAGGAAATGCACCTATTTCATTCCTTAATTCTGACTTTATTCTTATCCGTCTCACCCTGCAAGTCCACCGTCTGCTTAAGAAAATGAGGGGGTGTTTCTGTTTTGGAAATGACGATGTCAAAACACTTTGTAAGACCACAGAAATTCTGTTTCACACATACGATCCAGCCTGGGAACAGGAGATAGGAGTGCTTCCATTATGGGGGGGGGAGGAGAGGAGAGATTTGAAATTAAAAAATAATGGCGAGGGAAGGAGTGGAAGTGACAATAATATTTGGGGTTGGGGTAGGGGGGAGTTGTCAGCCCAGCAACCCAAAAATCATTGCATAAAGGCAAGAGCGGTTTGATGTGAAAACAGCCTGCGCGCTGTTCGCAATTGACTGGGGAGGCGTAAGGGATAAGGCATCCACATTTACATATAAATGAAGATATTTACAAATTAATGCATTTTGAGCAAGAGGAAGTCCCGCCACTTCAAGATGCCAGAGCGACAGGGCCTGCCGTGTCGCAGGGGAAGTGGAGAATGAGGCAAGGAAGATTTACTAGAGAGCGAAATGCAATCTTTTCTCAATTAAACAAAAAAATAGGCAAGATTTATGCCAGAGGGCAGCTCCTTAAGAGGTTTCAGGCAGACTGGTCAGCCGTGAAGTCCCTCAGAAGATTCAGGTATTTTGTTAGGGTTCAGCTCTGGTCAGAGGAGCAAAGAGTTTGAGAACCTATGTGCAGAAAGTTCTTCTTCATGCAGGGCTTAGTTAAACTGCAGAACTTGCTCCTGCAGTGATGTCCATCAAAATGATTTTAAAAGAGGAGTGGACAAATGCATGGAGGATAAAGGCTGTCAGTGGTTACTGGCCACAATGGCTATGCTCTGCGGGAGTTAATGCTTCTGAATACCAGTTTTTGGAAAATGCAGGAGGAGAGAGGTGCTCTTGGATCCCGCTTGCAGGTTTCTGGTTGGCCAGTGTGAGAAGAGGTTTCTGGATTCAATGGGCCATTGGCCTCATCCTGCAGGCTCTTCTGGCTGGCCACTGTGAGAACAGGATGCTGGACTGGATGGGTTTCAACTTGATCCAGCAGCCTCTTCTTGCGTTTGGCAGATCTCTACACTACCAGTGACCAGAGCAACCATCACATCCAGGCATCCCTGCGCTGGGACTGGAGACCCTACACCAGTTGCCATCTCAACTGGATAGCTCAGTTGGTTAGCAGGCTTCCTCAGCCTCAACCCTCCAGAAGTTTTTGGCCTACAACTCCCATGATCCTTAGCTATCAGGACCAGTGGTCAGGGATGATGGGAATTCTAGTTTCAAAGCATCTGGAGGGCCGAGGTTGAGGAAGCCTGGGTTAGAGCCAAGGTCACAGGTTTGATCCCCATAGGAGATAGTGGCATATTCCTGCATTGTGGGAGGTTGGATTAGATCAGGGGTTATCAACCTGGTCCCTATCGCCCAATAGTGGGAGTTTCAGGATTCTAGGGGGTTCTACAGCACAAGCTAAATCCTCCTTCCATCAAGCACTGGTGGGCTGTAAGGAAATTTTACCATCAGGAAAGATGCATTAGTGTGCAGTAGGTATAAAAAGGTTGACTACCCCTGGATTAGATGATCCTCAGGATCTCTTCCAGCTCTATGATTATTCATCTCCCCTGCCTTGCACACATACACACTCCATATCCCTATGGACCTTGGATCTCCTCTGCTCCTTAGGGAAGGGCTGTAGCTCAGCAGTGAAGCACCTGCCTTACATGCAGAAGGTCCCAGGTTCAATCCCCAGTGGCATTTCCATGTAGGGCCAGGAGAGACCTTCTGCCTGAAACCCTGGAGAACCATTGCCGCTGGTCTGACTCAGAATATATGAATGGAGGGTAATGCTCTCAATGGCTACTAGCCATGGTTGCTATGCTCCATCTCCAGTATGGCTGTGGGTGCTATTGGCTGGGAATAAATAAAAAAAGTGCTGCTGTTAATCTCTGGTCTTGCTTGTGGGTTGCCCATTAGGGCATCTGAGTGGCCACTGTGAGAGCAGGACTCCTGACCAGATGGGACCCCCTTTGGCCTGAACCACCTTCAGGGCTCTTCTGGAGTTCACAAGAGGGTGGACAATTCTCCACTGCCCGCAAACTGCTGGCTGGCATCCTTCCTTGGATCACCCCGAGTCCCTTTTTCCCTTTGTTGGAGGTTTTTAAGTAGAAGTTGGATGGTCCTCCATCAGGGATGGTTTAGCTGGGACTCCTGCATTGATGGAGGTACCACTGGGGGTAACTACAGTGGTACCTTGGGTTACAGACGCTTCAGGTTACAGACTCCGCTAACCCAGAAATAGTACCTCGGGTTAAGAACTTTGCTTCAGGATGAGAACAGAAATCGTGCTCCAGCCGCGCAGCGGCAACAGGAGGCCCCATTAGCTAAAGTGGTGCTTCAGGTTAAAAACAGTTTCAGGTTAAGAATGGACCACCAGAACGAATTAAGTTCTTAACCCGAGGTACCACTGTACTTCCCACTTTGTTGTTGTTGTTGTTGTTTAGTTGTTTAGCCGTGTCCGACTTTTCATGACCCCATGGACCAGAGCACGCCAGGCACTCCTGTCTTCCACTGCCTCCTGCAGTTTGGTCAAATTCATGCTGGTAGCTTTGAGAACACTGTCCAACCATCTCGTCCTCTGTCGTCCCCTTCTCCTTGTGCCCTCCATCTTTCCCAACATCAGGGTCTTTTCCAGGGAGTCTTCTCTTCTCATGAGGTGGCCAAAGTATTGGAGCCTCAGCTTCACGATCTGTCCTTCCAGTGAGCACTCAGGGCTGAGTTCCTTCAGAATGGAGAGGTTTGATCTTCTTGCAGTCCATGGGACTCTCAAGTCTCCTCCAGCACCAGAATTCAAAAGCATCAATTCTTCAGCGATCACTTCCCACTTTACAGTTCTACAATTGCTTTCCTTCCTTCCTTCCTTCCTTCCTTCCTTCCTTCCTTCCTTCCTTCCTTCTCCCTCTCCCTTGTTCTGCTGATGGCTCCCCCGTTCTGCCCCTCCCTTGCCAACAATCTTGCTAATTAATTACATCCTGCCACATCGCCTATTTTTAAAACTGTAGCCCTAATCAGCACCCCATTCATTGTATTTTTGCAGCGTGACATTGTAGTACTGCTTTGGGCAACCCTTCCAAGCCCTCCTCTCTCCCACCTCCACCCACAAGGTCTCCCTCCCTGGTGAGCTTTACATTGCCCATGGGAAATTGTTTGGCTCCCTCTTGCGGTCCAGAGGTGCGATTGACCAACAGTATATATTTTCCAAGTCTGTTGGTTCCAATAGATGGAGGCTCATTCGACACTGGATTTGTGGTGCTACCTAGCTCCCATTTACCATCTGTTAGCAGTGGTGCTGTGCTATGTGCTGTACAAAGTGACGTCTTCTTCTTCTTCTATTACTTTGTCAATCACTTGTAGCCGAGTAAGATTATCTTCCATAAACAACAATGAGTCCATAAGTGACTGTCCGTAAGTGACTGTGGAGGCCAATTCCAGATCCACACGTCCTTCCACAGCGAGGACATAGGTTTCCAGGCAGGAGTTGATCATGGTGAGGGTTTGCCAAACGTGCCTTCCTCTTAGCACATTTCTCCCTTGTGTCCTGAGTTCAAACATCTTCAAAGCCCATGACACCTTTGCTAAAGGCTGTTATTCATAAGTCACCCCGGCACCTTTGTGCTGTGGTCACCTTCCGATGCCAAACCTCGCCTCTAAACGCATCACAGGTTCCAGATGTTGCAGTTTTGATCCCCTGCGGCGTTCGTAAATGGACGGTTCTGCCTTTTCCACATGGGGAAGATCTGGACTCTGCCATCCCTTTGGCCCCTTTCCAGCTCCCTTCCTTCCGATTTCCTATCCCCTTGAGCTCACCAGATGCCGCGGGGAGGGGCGTGCGGTTCCGTTCACCTGACACTCGGCAGTGACAGGCTTAGGCTGGCTTTCTTGGAAGCCCTGCCTGTTCTGCCACCGGGTGGGATGGAATCGTGTGGAGATGGATTGACATAAATCCAGACAAAAATGGATCCAGGCACTGCGTGCATGTAGAGAGGGAGTGGGGTGGGGAAATAAATAAATAAATGCCGCAAGAAATCACTCTTTGCGTGGTTGGATTTATTACTAATTATGCCGTTGGCTTTACGGGCAGGCTTATAAAAACCCAAACTGGGGCATAAAAATGCTAAAGAGAGGCTTAATTTAAGGAGAAAGGCTGGGATATCGCATCTCGTTACGTTGGGTGCTATTTCTTCAGAATTGGTCTGAGCATATTTCAGGACTTGTATTTTAATTTTCCTGAGCACCAGGGAACATAAAGCACTGAGGATAACGATCCACCCGCATGCCGGTGATCTCATTTGCTTGGCTCCCTTGCAGCTTTGGCTAACTTCTGCATTCAATCTTGAAAACTGCTTTAGTCCTTTCTGAAGATGCCAGGAACGTATACTGCTCCCTATTCTGAACTACTTGAGGATTTGCCATTGGGGCATCTGGTTGGCCGCTGTGAGAACAGGGTGCTAGGCTAGATGGGGAAGGGTTTGGAAAGTCCTTATGGACTTTTACTTTCTCATACCAAAGGTATGTATGTGTGCCACCCGTACCTGTTTCCAAACCCTTCTAAATCTAGTACATCGGTGTTATCCAATTTTATCCAATCACCCAACCATGTTATACAGGCCGCCTCATAGTAAAGTTTAAGATCAGGCAATGAGAATCCGCCTCTTTCCCTTTTGTCTGTATGAAGTTTAATTTTATTCTAGACTTCTTCCCTTGCCATACAAACCTTGATACAGTGGTACCTCGGGTTAAGTGCTTAATTCGTTCCGGAGTCCGTTCTTAACCTGAAACTGTTCTTAACCTGAAGCACCACTTTAGCTAATGGGGCCTCCTGCGTGGCACGATTTCTGTTCTCATCCTGAAGCAAAGTTCTTAACCTGAAGCACTATTTCTGGGTTAGCGGAGTCTGTAACCTGAAGCATACGTAACCTGAAGCATATGTAATCCGAGGTACCACTGCATTACTTTCTGCCGCTCTTTGAATTGCCCTAACCCGGTAATTATCTGGATGGTTTGAAACAAAAAGAGCATTTTGGGTAGCACGTTCGACTTTACTACCGCGATTCTCCCCCAGAATGACAATTTCAGTCTACAGTGGTACTTCAGGTTAAGTACTTAATTCGTTCCGGAGGTCCGTACTTAACCTGATACTGTTCTTAACCTGAAGCACCACTTTAGCTAATGGGGACTCCCGCTACTGCTGCGCCGCCAGAGCACAATTTCTGTTCTCATCCTGAAGCAAAGTTCTTAACCCGAGGTACTATTTCTGGGTTAGCAGAGTCTGTAACCTGAAGCGTATGTAACCTGAAGCGTATGTAACCTGAGGTACCACTGTTTTCCATATTTCCAAATTCTTTTTAACTTCTTTCCAAACTATTTCGTAATTATCTTTAAATAAATTTGTGTTCTTTGGAGACAGCCATCTACCCAGGTATTTTACTTTTTTAACCCCTTTGATTCCAGTTTTCTTTTGTAGTTGGTCGATTTGCCTTGCAAGCAGAAGGTACCATTCAATCCCTGTCCTCTTCAGCTAGAGTAGGGAGAGACTCCTGCCAGTCAGTGCAGACAATTCTAAGCAAGATTGAACAAGATGCGCTTGGTAAAAGGCAGCTTCCGGTACTCCTAACTGAACTCCATTCCTCATCTTTGATAGCTGCTTCTTTAATCTAAGGCAAGGTTTCCCAAACTTGGGTCTCCAGCTGTTTTTGGACTACAGTTCCCATCATCCCTGACCACTGGTCCTGCTAGCTAAGGATTATGGTAGTCCAAAATCAGCTGGATACCCTGGTTTGGGAAACGCTGATCTGAGATATTGGAGGCCAGTCCATTTGGCTGCTGCCCCACCAAACTCAGTCTGCCCTCATCCAGCCCACACCAGCCTCCTTCCTTACACCCAGCCCCAGGGGGAAGGGGGTAGCCCTGCCTGTCAGTTTCCTCCTCTTCCTTGGCTCAGTGTTCCCCTTGTAAAACTCAGCAGGATGGAGGAGGGGTGGGGGGAAACAAGAACAAATTGGCTCTGCCTCTCAATGACTCTAGCGCCACCTACTGCTGGGCTCCCTTGCCAAATGATCTCTGTGATGTAGGAATGATCGGGGAGGCAGGAGAGGATATATTGTTTATTAATATCCTTCCTAACTTGCTCTAGCAAGTTCTGCAACTTAGCAGAGTTTTAAACATTCCCCTTTAAATGCACAGCGGGTAGTTGGTTGCAAGCTTGTTTAAGCTTCTCAATATAGATTCCTGGTAATATCCTTTATTTTCCCTCTTAAAAGAATGACAATCTTATTTAAAGATATAAAAAGAGTTTATCCACAGCATCATCTGTTCACAGATGAATCCCTGAAGGCAGACTTAGTTACATATATATATATATATATATATATATATATACACATATATATATGTGGGTGGGTGGGTCTACCCCATAGGGAGATAGTCTCTTTGTCCTATGTTGGCTGAAAGCCAACAGGGCATCTCTAGCTAAAAAGAGCTGTTGGTCCTCCCAAGGAGGAAGTCAGAGAGAGAGAGATGGCTGCACGCCTTGTGCTTTTCTTTACCTGCACAGGTAAGGTCACACCCACCTCTGGTCACATGCAAGAGGAAGTATGTCGCAGCCCAGGAGGAAACAGGAAGTTCCGACTGGCTAGAGCAAACATCCCCTTTCATGTCCACTCTAGGAATGTTGTACTTGACAGCTATCTATGTGTCACATC